GTTCCAAAAGGGAAAAAGGTCCTTGGTGGACGCCTTGTTTTGCGCACTAAAAGAGATCAAGATGGCAAAATCCTTCGCCACAAGGCTCGATGGGTTGTAAAGGGCTATGAGCAGAGATATGGAAAGGATTATGAGCAGACCTTTGCAGGAGTTTGCAAATCAGCCACATGGAAAATCGCTGTTGCCCTCGCTGCACGTTTCGATCTTGAGATTGAACAGATGGATGTTGACACTGCATTCCTTGAAAATGATATCGATGCAGAGGTATATGTAGAATTGGCTCCTGGATGGTGTGAGAATGGTGTCAAGCTTTCAAAGGAGGATGTGTGCAAGCTATCACGCGCGCTTTACGGTCTCAAGCAGTCACCACGTCTCTGGCAGAAAAAGCTTCGCAAAGCACTCCAATCTCTTGGAGTTGAACCACTCGAAACAGACCAATGCATCTTCATCAACAAGGACACAAAGATCATCATTGTCACTTATGTTGATGACTGCCTCATTATTGGCAAAGATAACGAGGACTTAAGTAAGTTGAAATATGAGTTGCAGACAAAGTTCACAATTGAAGAACTCAGTCCTGCACAATACTTCCTTGGAGTCCGCATTCATCGAGATAGAAAGAAGTGAGAGATCTACCTTGGACAGGATGCATATACTCAAAAGATCCTCAGCCGTTTTGGAATGACAAATTGCCACACGCTGAAGACGCCTTGTGCCCAAGGATGGGAAATTCTCATGACTCCGTACAAAGACAAAGCTACAGCTCACGAAATCAAGCTGTATCAGTCTATGGTTGGATCTCTAATGTATCTAGCCATGAACACTCGACCGGATATCAACTATTGCATGTCTGTTCTATCTCGTTTTCTCGCAAACCCCTCGCCACAGCATATCGCAGCTGCTCGTCGCTGTCTGCAGTATCTCGCAGGCTCTATTCATCTGTGCATCTGTTATGGAGGCGATTGGAAGGATGATGAGGCTATGGCATTAAGAGGATACGTCGATGCAGACTTCGCAGGCGACAGAAGCGAGCGCAAGTCTCACACAGGATGCGTCTACCTTTTCTGTGGAGGCGTCATTGTGAGAATTTCTAAGAGACAGCCAACCGTTGCAGTTGCGACTACTGAAGCTGAATACGTGGCTATGTTTAAGGCTGCACAGGAAGGAGCATGGCTTCGACAGGTATTCAAGGAGCTTGGATATAAGAAGAAGGATGCACTCACAACGGAAATCATCGGCGACAACCAAGGAGCTCTTGCACTTGCAGAGAATCCAGAGTTTCATCAGCGAACGAAGCACATCGACATCAAATACCACTACATCCGAAATCAAGTGAAGGAAAACCTTGTTGATCTATATTATGTGTATACGAAGGAGATGGCTGCAGATGGACTGACGAAGCCACTATCAACGATGGATCATCAGAGATTCATTGAGCTGATCAAGCTTAAACAGCTTCCAAAGATGGACTGATTATAGGTTACGGATGAAGAACTAGGGGTGCTACTAACTGTTGATATGTTTTCTACAATATCACCAGAGGGGTGCGTTGCAGGAATCGGGGTTCAGAGCCACGGGAGCCACTGGCGTGGCACCCACCCACATATATAGTTCTCAGTAGTTGTAACCTATATACTTCAACTAATCAACAACTTGTCTACCACCAACACTTCCAATGACCTCCAGTGACTATGTGTTACACATAACTGTAGTGATAACCGTTTCAAATGGCCACTATCGCACCTGCAAAACTCTCATTGATAAAGGAGCGCTAGTCAACGCCCAATGGGGGATGTCTAGCAGTGCCTTACATGAGGCTAGTTTTAATGGCCGAACTCGTGTAGTTGAGTTACTACTTGAACGAGGAGCCAAAGTTAATCTCCGAGGAGGCAATCGTGGCGGCAATGCTCTTATCGCTGCTTGTTATACTGGCCATGAGCAAGTCGCGAGGCTATTGCTCATACATGGCGCGAATGTCAGTGGTCATGTGGGTTTCGACGATGACACACCACTGCAGATAGCCGCACTTGAGGGGTTCCCCAAAGTTGTATCTCTACTCATAGAGTACGGAGCAGATTCTAACGAGCAAAGTGGCTTCTATGGAAGCGCTCTGCAAGGTGCTGCGTTTAGGGGCCAGGAGAGAGTTGTTGAGACTCTACTTAGTCTTGGTGCAGATATCAACCGTGAATGTGGGTATTACGGCAGTGCTCTACATGCTGCGTGTCTGAATGGGTCTATAATCGTTGTTAAGATGCTCCTAAACCGTGGAGCTGATCCCAATCTCCTGTCTGGCATTCATGGAAACCCCCTTCAATTCGCTGCAAGTTGTAACAATGCGGAAATAGTACAGTTATTGCTTGAGAGGGGAGCTAAAGTAAACACGGTGGGGGGAAAGTATCATAGCGCATTACATGCTGCGGCGTATCAAGGGTACGAGAATATTGTGGAGATGTTGCTTATGGCAGGGGCAGACGTGGGGATCATCGGGGGGCAGTATGGCAGTGCGTTAGATGCGGGACTTTATACGGGCACGTAAATGTGGCGGAGAGGCTAAGGCAGGCAGAGAGGGAAAGGGAGGCGGTTATACCAAAATTGGTGCCCACAGATATTTAATGTTCAAGCTACAGTAATGGTGCTAACAAATTGTAGTTCGAGGGGGAGAATTTGAATATAAATATCCTTTAAGTCAAGAAGCATTATGTGGATGCTGACTATTGTATAATCTACAATGATCATTATCGTACATGTATAACGAGTCGGCCACCCAAGCGAGTCGGCCACTTTCCACTGACCACCTATATATTATATAAATCAATTCAACTACAACGCCTTAAATCAATTAAAACTACTCAGAATCGCCATCTTCAGACGTCTCCCAAACTACCTGACAAGTTCGCGAATTATGACCAGTTTGGCTGCAGTTGCCACAACGCCGAGTACGTAGCTGAGCCCGCTCTGTAGAACTACCCTCCCTACGTGTATTTTCTCTCCTAGCATCAACTATACCCTTTTCTAGCTGTATCGCATTAGCTTCAGGTGCTGAAAGCGAACCTCCAAGCTGTAGGCGGCTCTTTTTAGCCCTCCGGCGTTTGCTTAGTAACTCATTTGCTGTACAAAGCTCCTGGTTCTCAGCTTCAAGAAGGACTAGTCTGTGTGCTAGCATTGAGATACCTTTAGCCTGGGCGTCAACTACGTTATATAAATGGGTTGGAGAGCTACCCTGATGCCTAGCAATCCTAGATTTCAAGGTAGTAGAGCTTTGAACAGCCTCAATTGCTGTAGTTGGCGTTTTTAGACCCCAGGAGGTAGCGGTTCCTGGCCGAGAGTTTGACGGTGTAGGCGTTCTAGGCTTAAAATCCAGCCGAGAAATTACTGTTTCAGGGTCGTATGGAACAAGGCCAGTTGCTCGGAAGCCAGCTCGTACATTCTCTTCTCCCATTGAAGCAAAAAAGGCCTGCTGGAAGGCAGGAAAGAAGTCATCTTTAGTAATGTGAGTTATATGCCTCCGCATCATCTGCTCAATTGCCTTGCTATACGAAGCTTTTAAAGGGCTAAAACAGCCTACATCGAGAGGCTGGAGGATATGCGATGAATGGGGAGGCATGCAAAGCGGTATAATATTGTTAAGCTTGCAGAAATCGTCGAATTCAGTAGCCCGGTGGCTGTTGTGGCCGTCGAGGATTAGAAGTCTATATCCACCAGTTGTACGAGGCTTAGTACATCCCTCAAAGTGATTCAACCAATCTAGGCCTATAGCGTTTGTAGTCCAGCCATTTTCGCTCAGATGGATCCGCCAGGTTGGTGGGAATTGGCCATTGGTATACCAGGAGAGGAGGTGATATTTGCCCTTAACAATGATATATGGCGGCATTGCCCAGCCATCTGCACATACACTCTGGATTACAGAAACCCATTCCCGATTGCCAGGCTGCTTTGTACGAGGTCTGTCCTGTCAATCAGAGGTTGTTACAACCTTAGCATGCGAGAGCATTCCCATCAAAAACCCAGTCTCATCAAAGTTGTAGATGTCTGAGTTGACAATACCGTATTTTGCAATTGTATTCTGTACAAGTGCAAACCAAGCTTGTATAATCTTAGGATCTTCAGCTAGGGCCCTCTGGTAGTCAATTCGACGTCGAAAATGCATATTAAGGGCTGGTTGGCGTCGTACGAAGTTCCCTGCCCATCATGAGCCAACACGCGTTGCGTCGCGTACCCCAAGGAGGCGATTGGCCATATCTTGTATATCTTCGAGCCGGGGCGGAAATCCTCGCTCAATTAGATCAATAATATGATCAAGAAGCACACTCTCTTCAGTATTGGTCAACTTCCTCCCATTTGCAGTTATATCGCGTCTTGATAGTTTTCCAGTGCGTCGGTCGGCCAAAGTCGCCCGGGGAACCTTATAGACACCTGCTGCAGCTCGTTCGGTAAGTTTAGGGTCGTTTTTAAGAGCTTCAATTGCTAGGATTATACGGCTTTCATTTGAAGTAGATTCCATTTTTGTACGTAGAGGGAAATAGTTGCAAAGTAAAAGGTGGTGGAAATGGTGGAAAGTGGCCGACTCGCTTGGGTGGCCGACTCGTTATACATGTACGTTAGTTAAACTTATCTTATTTTCAACTTCGGTTTATTGTGTTTAATTTCATCTTTCATCATATGAGAAAACATCACGAAATTAGTAATATTACTCTTTCAACCCGCAATTTAAATCAACACAATTGGTAAATTTATTTTAAAATTTACTACAACTGTGCAATAACCCATCCTTTAATATATTCTTTCAGATCTAACCAGCCAGTTAGTATAGACATCTACGACATGTTCCTCTGACGTCGAAATTCCAAGGCACGTGACAATTGAGAACCGCCAAGAAGTCACTGGACCACGCCAAACTCAAAGAGGCTATAACTAAACCTGATCTAGACGACCCCACCGAAACTTTGTTTACAACGGCCCCATAGTTGTCCTGGATACGGAAATCGAGAGAATGATGCCCTCACAGCATCATCCATTGTTTCCTACCCAAAGCACAAAAACTTCGCACACCCACCCGCTATGGACAGATGCACTCATGAAGTCCCCATGGACTTTGAATGGCAGACCAGCGGCCCCGCCGACGTCACCTCGCCCTTCTACCAATTAACCCAGAAGCAACAGGGACTGAAGCGTAAGCAATCCCCCTCCGTCACTGGCGATGCAGCCATGGACCCTCACTCCCCAACCGCTATGCTAACGTCCACTCCTCCACAGGCAGCTTCGAATCGCCCTCCAAACCCCCACCCCCCTCCTCACAATCCGCCTTCTTCTCCGCCGCACCCTCCAACATCGCCACCCCCTTCCGCAACCCATCCTTCACCACCCCCCGCAAACCCTTCGACGTCGACCTCTTCTCCGAAGCCTCCGGCGCCGAATCCTCCCCCGCCGACAACGCCGACACAGAAGACACCCCCGACCACCCCAGGCCCCCCGCACGCCCATCGCCATGCCCGCATTCTCCTTCACCAAGCTCGACAAAAAACCCATCTTCGGCCGCTACGGCCTCTCCGCCTTCGGCTCTCCCGGCCGCGACACCTCCCGCCGCGGCAAGCTCTCCGATGCTGTCGCCCAGAAAGCGCGGAAGCGGCGCCGCCACGACCGCGACCCCGTCATCCACTCCCGCCGCGGCAGCATCGACAGCGGCTGCTCCTCCGAATCCGCCTCGCGCCGGCACAGCCCACACCACCGCCCCTCCAGCAGCAACGGGCAAAACTGGTTCTCCTCCCTCCTCACCGGCATCGAGTCCCGCCCCAACCTCCCCCACCTCCTCTCCTACTACGCGCAGCTCATCCTCAACTCCTTCCTCGTCGCCGTCGCAATGTACCTCATCTACTCCTCCATCCGCACCATCCAATCCGACGTCTCCAAGGAAGAAGCCCGCGCCATCGACGAAGCCCACCACGAAATTGCAGTCTGCACCTCCCACTGGACAACGAACAACTGCGCCCCGCACCTCCGCGTCCCCGCCGTTGCCGCTGCGTGTCGCGAGTGGGAGGTCTGCATGCAAGCCGACCCTACGCAGGTTGGTCGCGCCAAGATATCCGCTCACACATTCGCGCGCATCGTGAACGAGTTCATCGAGCCGATTAGTTTGAAGACTATGCTCTTCGTCGTCGCCACGTTTCTGGTGTTTGGATACGTCAATAATACGGCGTTCGCGGCGTATAGAAGTAAAATCGATAATCAGCCTCAGCAGCAGCAGCAGCAATTCTTTCATCAGCCGCCGCCGCCGTCACCGTGGCCCAGTCAGCAGGCGGGAGATTATGGGTGGGGTGCTATTGCGCCGCCGACGCCGAGACATGCGTCCGGAGGGTATGGGGATGGGAATGGAGGCCCCATGTTCGCGGCGTTGATGCCACCGCAGACGCCGCAGCGGAGCCCGAGGAAGGGGGGACGGTGAGGGGACGGGGTGGGTTACTGCTAGGCAGAGCTTGTTGTTGGCTGTATTACTTAGGAGTTGGGAAAAGGGATACGTGGGTTTGGTTTTTGGGGGATTGGAATGGGGGCCGGGGTGGGGGGGGGGGGGGGGGGGGGGCAAATGTAGCAACATTCATAGGAAATAAGTCAGGTTCTCCGATCAAGTGCCCCCGTTTCTCGCACTCGTAGTGGGATATCATATCATGGGATTGGTGCACGTAGGAAATAGATAGGGACGGGAGGCACACCTGTCTGCGCCTCTCATTTACGCACACATGGCATCTCAAACAGATTTATTTATATCTACGAACGCCCCGTCGCGCCGACCCCGTCGTGCATCACAAGCTTGTATACCCTTCCCCCTCTACCACCACCGCCCCCCGTAGCCCCCCGCCCATCGGATACTATGTGCTTTTCCTAGATAACACCCCCCGCCCCAACCCCTCCACGTAGCCCCAGGCCCACGCGCACGCTCACCTCGTCTTCTTCACCTCCTGCGCCCACCCCTCAATCCCCTCCCCCCTCGACCCCACCTCGAGCCCCTCAATCCCCACCCCCTCCATGCCCACCGCATCCCCAACCCACTTCCCCCCCGCCATCCCCCCCGCATTCGCCCTCTTCTCCGGCGTCAGCTCCAGCATCGGTGTCAAAAACTCCGCCACCCCCTTCGCCTCCGCCTCCTTGAAATGGTACTTCTCCCTCAGCACGTCCGGGAGCGCCCAGTGCCGCAGCCGGTGGATGTTGCGGAGTTCGCCTTTGCGGTTGAAGATCTCCTGCGACCATTTCCCCGAGAGACAGAGCGAGCGCGGGAAGGGGCCCAGGAGCTCGACGATCTGCGCGATGTGGTCGTCGTCTTTGCCGTACTTGGTGCCGGATTGGGGGTCGAAGAGGTAGTCGCCTGTGATGAGCTCGAAGACCTGGGAGGGAGGTTAGTGGTACGTTAGTGGGAGGGGGGGGAGGAGGAGGCGGAAGAAGAAGGAATAGGAGAATAGGACGTACCATAGCAGCCATACTCCACACATCCGTACTGGCGCCCCATTTCGCGCCGAGGATGACCTCGGGCGACCGGTACTGCCGCGTCTGGATGTCGTTGGTGAAATGGTGGTTGACCCAGCAGGCGTTCCCTAGATCTGCAATCTTGACGCTGATCTTCTCGAATGCCGGGTCTGAGGGCTTGGGTTTGTCGGCCGTCGACGAGCTCTTGTCTAATGTAATGCCGGATACTTCTCTACTTAAGATGTCTCTGCGGGGGGAGGTTAGCGTGGGTTCTTTCTGCTGTAGGGTGGGGTTGGGTTGGGGGTGTAGAGTATGAGAAGTAGGGACATACGCTGATTTCTCTCTCTGGCTCTGGTCCTTGTCTGTCGTGGGTGTCGTGCTCGGGGATCCTGTGATGGCACCACTCATTACGACGCCGCCCAACGAAGAAGCACTCTCTCCTCGGATGGGGGTCTCATTACCTTCACTCATCATCCCGTTGAGGCTCGACATGGAGCTGCCCTGGTTGCGGAACAGCTCCGCATGGTTGAAGCTCGCGTTCAGCGGGCTCGGCAGCGGCTGGCTGCCCGTGATGAGGGTCCTGCGTCGCCGGCGCCCGTTGGGGTTATCCTTCTTCTCCTCCTTCTTGACCTCGTCCTGGTTGACGAAGGTCTTGACGATGTGCTCCACGTCGCCAATCTCGATCAGCACGTTCTCGGGCTTCAGGTCCGTGTGGATGATGCCGCACTCGCGGTGCAGGTAGTCGAGCCCGAGCAGCACCTGCTTCGTGATCTGCTTGACCAGCGGCATCGGGATGCCGCGGTGGTTCCAGCGCTTGATCAGCCCCAGCAGGTTCTCCCCGAGCACCTCAAACACCATGCACACATGCGTGCCGTTGGGGCCCTTGTGCTCGAACGAGTCGAGCAGGCTGACGACGTGCTTGCGCCCCGGGTGCTCCGGGTTGGCGGCCACGATCTTGTTGAGCAGCTTGATCTCGTCGATGGCCGTCTCCGTGTAGTGTGCCGCCGACCGCACGACCTTGAGCGCGACGTGCTTGCCCGTCACGCCGTCCTTGGACAGCCACACCGTCGAGAAGTGGCCCCACCCTAGCTTGCGAACCACCGTGTACTTGCCGTCCTTGAACTTCTCGCCCACCTGCACCGGGTGGTAGCCGCCCTTGCAGTAGTCCTCCGAGTCCTCTTCGTCGGCCGTCGTCTCGGCCTCGTCGCGCGACGATGTCGACGGTGATCGGTTGTTCATTGCGCCCTTATGCGAAAGCGGAGAGTTGGTCGAGCCGCTGCTCCTAAACGCACGCAACCGTGTTAGTTTCCGTTGGGGTCTTGGAAGTGGCGGGAAGGAGAACGAGACGGATTGATCGCGCCATGCAGCTGCGTGGTATGCGCTGGGAGTCGACCCCATCCTGCCAAAAAAATCCGAAACATGCGCTGAAAGAAGCGCACAGCGCACAGCGGCGGGCGGGGGCGGCGAGAAGGGGCGGGCGGGGATGGGGGATGGGGAAGTTTCACTTACTTTCCAGCGGTAGAATTGGAAGCCATGGTTGTTGGGGGGGTATCCGCATTCTTCGGCGTCTCATTTGTGATGATGGGTTTCAGCTGATTGTTTCCTCTGCGCTTCTTGCTCGCGCTCCCATTGCTCCCGTTGATGGTGGCTGAGCTGACGGCGCTCTTTGCCTTTGCGATGGCAGCGGCCTTGATCTGTTGGCCGGTAGAGGTCATCGTCGCGGGATCGTGGTGGTGGAGGAGGTGGGCTGTTTCCGTGGGGGACATTCGAGTTGGCGCTCGTACACTACTCGGACAACCGTACTGGGGGTTTGATGTGTGTGTGGGTGGTGGTGGTGGTGGTGGTGGTGGGTGGAAGCGGATTCTGGGCAAAGTTGGGGGGCTTTTTCAGTGACGGAACGGTGTATCTGTGTATAGTTTTTTTGGTTTATATAAGACGCAGCAACAGTCGTATAGCAGCAGTACAAAATGGAATAAATGAAGCTTCCGCTGAAGAATAGGAAGATGGCGGAGATGGCGTATGAGAAGCTGGCTTGATCCAGCTGGGAGGAGGGGGGGGGGAGGTGGGGGGGGGGAAGGGGTTGGTTGATGTTGATAGATGGGATAGGATATAATGAAGATATTTGGTAAGAGAGGGAATGGAATAGCAGACAGAGTAGTTTGTTGTTGTTGTGGAGAGCAATTGACTGGATTTGGTATTAGTGGTGTGTACAGCAAGAGTACTGGAGTACAGATACAGCAACTTTCCTACTCTCTCCACAGTTTTTTGGGCTGGTATCCTGCTAAGATCTGGTAATGCTGGTAATGCTGGTAATGCTGGTTGGTAATGCTGCTAATGCTGCTAATGCTGCTAATGCTTAGCAATGAGGGAGGAGGAGGAAGGGAATGGGGAGAGAGGTGTGGTTTAAGAGTGACATCAGCGGTACAGAGGGGTTAGAGGAGATTCAGGTATATTTTATTACTACACAAAGTCTAAAAGCGCAGTCTAAAACCCGTACCTCGGTTGTACTTCTTCATCGTGACCTGTGGCTGGTTTTTTGTGTGGGTTTATGGTGGGTTCAGCTGTGGGATTGGGCTGGATTTGTGCTTGTGGTCTGTCTAGCTGGGTGTGATATGAGCGCTTAAGGGGGGGGGGGTGCGCGCTTAGCGAGGTGTGAGAGAGGTGTGAGAGAGGTGTGAGAGAGGTGTGAGAGAGGTGTGAGAGAGGTGTGAGAGAGGTGTGAGAGAGGTGTGGGCGGATGTTAGAGGAGTGGGAGTGTGAGTGGGAGTAAGTAAGCAGGGGGGTGGAAGTAGACATTAGTAGTGGGAAGAGCAGGAGGAGTGGGAGTGGATATAGTGAGAGTAGACATAGGAGGACTGGGGAGACCCTGTACGACCAAAACGTGCGTTGTGTCGTCACTTTAGTCTTAATCAAGATAACTAATACAGACCTCTGTTTAATGTCGTGACTAAATTTTAGCTTCGCTTAGGGTTGGAGGAAGCGATCCGCGCGGTTTCAAAATGAGCGGAAGCGATGTGCGCGGTTTCGCAATATGTAGGCTATAAGTACCACTGCATAGTAATTTGTATGTAAAGGTACATAAACCAATCATTATAAGAAATTATCACTTCATCACTCCCACGCTCACTCCCACACTCACTCCTACGCTTACTCCTACTCTTACTCCTATGCTCACTCCTGCTCTCGCTCTTACACTCACTCTTAGCAGCTTCTAGGTCCTAAATTAGGTCCTAATCCTCTAGAGGAATTAGGTTACTAGCTTGAATAAGAGCTTTTACCCTCTTTTTCTAGAGGCGCTCTACCCTCTAGGCCTTAACCCTAGCTCTTTTAAGCTGGTTATTAGCGCAGTTTCTAGCCTAGTAGGTTACCTAGGCTTCTTTAGCTACAAGATTCTAGGCTTAAAGCTTAGCTTTCTAGGCCTGAAGCTTATGTGTAATGCTGCTTCCTATCTAATAGAATGTATAGAGGTTTCTTACATAAGGTTGACTTAATAGAGGAGGTAGGGGATTAAACACAAAGGCTTTCTAAGTAACACATTAACGTGCATGTATAACGAAAGTGCCAAACAAGCGAAAGTGCCAAAATCATGCGGTGACCAACCCCCCCAACTAAATGTTAAATTCCTCCACAACAAAACATGCGCCATAAAAATGATGAAAGCAAATTAGTGCTAGCTATCCAAGCTATGCAAAGCGACCCAAATTTGCGCCTTCGAGTTGCAGCTAGGATCTATTCCGTAGACCACCGCAAGCTACGTCACCATTTACAAGGCATACCTTCACGACGCGATATCCAAGCCAACTTACGGAAATTAAGTAACCTAGAGGAATCAGTTCTTGTTCAGTATATACTTGACTTAGCTGCTAAAGGGTTCCCTCCTCAGTTGTCTATTGTTGAAGATATGGCAAATCGACTACTTGCAACACGCGACGCGCCACACGTCGGGTCACGTTGGGCTTCAAACTTTGTTAAGCGCCATGTAGAGCTCCGGACACGCTTCCAGCGAAAATACGACTACCAGAGGGCTAAGTGCGAAGATCCAGAAGTCATTCGTGGCTGGTTTGAGCTTGTATGGAACACAATTCTAAAGTATGGCATCAACAATGCAGATATCTACAACTTTGATGAGACTGGGTTTATGATGGGCGTCATCTCAAGCGCAATGGTAGTAACGAGCTCAGATGGGCGGGCAAAGGCAAAAAAGGTGCAGCCTGGCAATCGGGAATGGGTTACAGTAATCCAAGGCGTTAGTTCTCAAGGTTGGGCAGTGCCGCCATTTGTCATTGTGGCAGGTAAAAACCACCTTGCATCTTGGTATGAGAATAGCGGATTTCCAGCAGATTGGGTAATCACTGTTACTGCAAATGGCTGGACTACAAACGAGAGAGGTATGGATTGGATTCAGCATTTTGAGAAGCACACAAAGCCCCGGAGTGTTGGTGGTTATCGCTTGTTAGTCCTTGATGGTCATGAGAGCCACCATTCAGACAAGTTTGAGGAGTACTGCAAAGAACACAACATTATTACGCTTTGTATGCCTGCTCACTCTTCCCATATACTCCAACCACTTGATGTTGGCTGTTTTGGCCCATTAAAGAGAGCTTACGGTCGGCAAATTGAAGATATGATGCGGGCTCATATTATTCACATTACTAAGGATGACTTCTTTCCTGCCTTCCACGCTGCATTTAACATTGCAATGACAGAAAGCAATATTCAGGGAGGGTTCCGAGGTGCTGGGCTTCTTCCATTTAGCCCTGAGAGTGTAATATCTACACTTGACCTTAGGTTTAAGACGCCAACACCTCCAACCTCTCACCCAAACACCGCTCAACCATGGGTTTCTCAGACACCAAATAACCCAACTGAAGCTGTATCACAGTCTACTTTCATTAAAAACCGAATTGCGCATCATCAAAATAGCTCTCCAACCTCAATCTATGCAGCTGTTGACCAGTTTACAAAGGGTGCATCGCAAATAATGCATCAATTAGCATTGTTAAAAGCAGAGAACCAAAACCTGCGACAGGCAAATGAAGTGCTAAGCAAGCGCCGGAGAGCTAAAAAAACACGACTACAGCAAGGAGGATCACTTAGTCAACAGGTAGCACAGGAGCTACAGGACGAGAGGGACGTTTTGCAGCAAGTAGAGCAAGAAATAAGGGCAAGTAGTGGTCGGAAGCCAAGGGAAGAAACCCATGCACGTCGCTGTGGCAAGTGTGGTGAGACTGGACACAATGCGCGCACTTGTCAGATTGTAATAGACAGGTCTGAGGAAGAGGACTCCGAGTAGTTTTAATTAATTTATATTGTTGTGGTGGATTTATTGCAATTCTTATGGGATAGTCGCGATATTTTGGCACTTTCGCTTGTTTGGCACTTTCGTTATACATGCACGTTATAGTATTATAAAGAATACTATATTAAGTTGAGCACAAAGCTCCTATCTAAGGTTAGGATAGTTGGGATAGTTAGGATAGTTAGGATAGTTAGGATAGTTGTGCTTTTCCTAAATATCCAACTATCTACTAGTTTCCCAACTATCCACTAGCTAGGTCATGTTATAGCCTAGCCCTACTAGCCTTGTGACTTATGAGTCATGTTACTAGAGCCTAGCAGTAACATCATGATGTTACGGCTAAGTGCTAGTGCTATGGATAGCGCTTACGGCTGCAACCTCACGTGATGGATAACATTGGATATCTTGGATATTATGTTATCCATGTTATCCACGGGTATCCACAGAATATCAGGTGATGGATAACATTGGATATCATGGATATTATGTTATCCATGTTATCCACAGATATCCCTTTGGCATGACGCCACTATATAAGTAGATAGTATTTCTTAGATAGGAGCTTCGTGCTCAACTCAATATAGTATTCTTTACAATACTGTAACGTGTTACTTGGAAAGCCTTTGTGTCTAATCCCCTGCCTCCTCTGTCAAGTCAACCTTACGCAAGAAACCTCTGTGTCTTCTATCGTTTAGAAGTCAGCGTTACATGTAAACAGCTGATTTGAGGCATCTTGGCCTATGTAATGTCAGTATAAGACGATATCTAGTCAAATCAGTTTGATATCGAGTGTATCGTGGTTTTGGTGGGGAAATAAAGAATCCTACGAAAAATATTGAGTTGGTGTGAATATCGCCTAATCGAGTATTGACTTATCGCATGAGAGCTATACCACCTACTATCCCCCCTGAATAATTGTCACTTAACACAATTTAGCAATCAACTCACTGTTGCAAAGCTATTGCCTAGCCTGACCTTAAAGCAGTCCTCTTTAAATGGCAGCAGCTTATTAAAAGGAGGAGTTACAAGCACCAATATACTACAACTATGCGCTAAAACGATTTAGGAGCAACTTCCACAATACCACAACCAGCCTAAGACTCAATTCTCTTAAGGCTAGGATTTGAATTTTAAAAGACAACATAAGATTAAGAGTTATACTTAACATAGCGAAGCAAGCTTAATTCCTACACAAGCAGAGGAAGAAATGAAGGGGATATAGACAATAGCAGGGGAATATCAAGAGGAGGATATTTATAACATGGATGAAACTAGGCTCTTTTGAAAGCTAACTACTTCAAACGGACTTTTAACAATATCATAGCTAGGATTTAAGAAGGACAAGGCGCAAATATCAGTTATTTATTATACAAACTGTATAGGAGCTGATTAGATGCCACTTTGGTTTATTATTAGAAAGGCGAAGAAACCTCAAGCACTCTAGTATATTAATGTTAAGAAGGCTTAACGTGCGTGCATAACGAATGATACAACATAATGAATGATACACTACCTTGAATCCACACAACTCCTCTAGTAAACAGTAAATCCCTTCACAACAAAAGATGCCGCAGAAAAACGATGAACGCCAAGTTATATTAGCTCTTCAGGCGATGCAAAATGACCCTAAGCTAAGTGCTCGAGCTGCTGGAAAGCTCTATTCTGTCGATCATCAGAAGCTTAGTCGTCGTAAGCATGGTATGCATTCACGACGCGATATTTCTGCCAATTTGCGGAAAATGACCGACTTAGAGGAATCAA